TTTACAATCTCTCTGTCTCCTTCACTGTCTAGACATTAAGTATAGCCTTGAATATACTGAATGACTCAGCCTCGACAGCCCTCCGCGGTAAAGAATTCCACAGATTCACTGCCCTCGGATTGAAGCAATTCTTCCTCACTGGGGATCCTGGCTGTCCCCTGCTCCCAAACCACCAGCTAGTTGATGGCCACCATCAGTGACCTCTGTCCCCCTCGAGCTTCCCAACGGTGGAAGGTTAGGAGTGTAGGGATCTCACCAAATTGTGAGGCTGCGACAGACTGGAGAGGCAGGGAAGGAGGGGCGATGGCGACACAGAGGGGTTAGAAACCAAGGATCATCTTAAAACAGAGCTGCAATGTGACCAGGAGTCAGGGAGAATGGGCCAGGTGACAGAGGAGTGTAGGAATTGATTTGGGGTGGGGTTTTGTGCTCTGTTCAAGAGGAGTCCCTGATCTGTGGATCTGCCTGTGATAGCCCATTATCTCACCAGTTCTGTGAAATTCTGGCCATAATGTTGCTCTCTCCCTCCCTTGCGTTGGCAACATGTGTTTCTGGGTCAGTTGCTGATTATGTGCATTTATTTTTAATGATGCTTTTAGAGCTGAAATGAATTCAACATTTCATAAAATCCCACCCTTTAATTAGGTGAGCTCCAGCTGGAGGTCATGTCAGGATATTGCAATCCCCTTAACGTTTAGCTGGGGCTGAGGTTTTCTTTCAAACAGTTTCTCTGCTGTAAACCAACAACTATCGATGGTTTGAATTTTTGAAATGTCTACGTGGATGGTCTGGGCATTTGACTGCTTCAGTATCTGAAATGGAGATGCCGGTGTTGGACTGAGGTGGACAAGGTCAGAATCACACAGCACCAGGTTATAGTGCGACAGGTTATAGTGCGACAGGTTATAGTGCACCAGGTTATAGTGCAACAGGTTATAGTGCACCAGGTTGTAGTGCGACAGGTTATAGTGCGACAGGTTATAGTGCGACAGGTTATAGTGCACCAGGTTATAGTGCGACAGGTTATAGTGCGACAGGTTATAGTGCGACAGGTTATAGTGCACCAGGTTATAGTGCACCAGGTTATAGTGCGACAGGTTATAGCGCGACAGGTTATAGCGCGACAGGTTATAGCGCACCAGGTTATAGCGCGACAGGTTATAGCGCGACAGGTTATAGTGCACCAGGTTATAGTGCGACAGGTTATAGTGCGACAGGTTATAGTGCGACAGGTTATAGTGCGACAGGTTATAGTGCGACAGGTTATAGTGCACCAGGTTATAGTGCGACAGGTTATAGTGCACCAGGCATTTGTGTGGTGTGAATGTCACTTGCCACTTGTCAGCCCAAGCCTGGATATTCTCCAGATCTCGTTGCATTTGAACACAGACTGCTTCAGTATCTGAGGAGTCACGAATGGTGCTGAATATTGTGTAATGATCAGCGAACGTCCCCACTTCTGACCTTATGATGGAGGGAAGGTCATTGATGAAGCTGCTGAAGATGGTTGGGCCTAGGACACTCCCCTGAGGTATTCCTGCAGAGATGACCTGGAGATGAGATGATTGACCTCCAACAACCACAACCATCTTCCTATGTGTCAGGTCTGACTCCAACCACTGGGGAGTTTGCCCCCAATACCCATTGATTCCAGTTTTGCTCGGGCTCCTTGATGCCACACCTGGTCGAATACAGCCTTGATATCAAGGGCTGTCACTCTCACCTCACCTCTGGAATTCAGCTCTTTTGTCCATGTTTGAACCAAGGCTGTAATGAGATCAGGAGCTGAGTGGCCCTGGCAGAACCCAAACTGGGCGTCACTGAGCAGGTTATTGCTGAGCAGGTGCTGTTTGATAGCGCTGTTACTGACACCTTCCACCACTTTACTGATGATCGAGAGGAGCCGAAGGTTCAAAGTTTTGGAGAAAGCAGGTTTTGTCTCCTTAAACCACAGGAAGTTCGAGGGAGATTTGATCGAGGGGTTCAAAATCATGGCTTGTCAACAATCATTGAACCAAATGTCATCACCACCTGACTCCTGGTTGGAGTGTGTGGTTATAGAATGAGGTATTGAGTGGAGAAAGCCAAACTCTCTCTTTATAACAGACACAAGGTGTTTTACACAATGTCTCCCAACAGTCACAAGACTTGTCTTGTGGGATCAGCTGGTGTCGGAGCTAGACTCTAACCATTTGAAGGAGAGATTTGGTGATCTGGTGATGCTAACAGAGTGATCCTAATCAGTAAATGTGTCAACACACACTGTCAGTGCAGGGCTGGTCACTCAAGATTCCCACCAGGAAGCAACTCTTGGCGATAGCTGAATGCAGACCTTGCAGTTTCGGTCAGACAGGGCGAGATTCTACAGGAAACTGGTGGCTGTGTCTCTTGTGTTGTCGAGGAGTTTGTATTTTGCTTGTGTCGAGCTGAGCAAGGTGTTTGACTTTTCGTTTCTTGTCACGACCCACAGACCCCAGGCTGGGAAAGAGGAGTTTGTATCACCTTGTTGTTGGATTATTTTGGTTTGTGTGTTCCAACTTCAAAATAACCAAAGGGACTGCTTTAATCTTCAAATAGATGGTTAGTTCATCAAACAACCATGACTGGTTATTCAGGTCTAAAAGTGGCCACATTCTCAGCTGAAAGACACCTTTAGCAATAGTGTTACATGTGGAGATACAATGAGGTCAGTCTCTGATACTGCCATACGCCTCACTTCCTTCAAGATTCTCGTTCTGAAGCACACAGTTAAAATACAGACTCAGAGTTAGCCGTTGTGATGTCTTCCATAGTCGAATAGTTTGACTTTCTCCCAAGGGTAGGCTAAGCCGAACTGGTTCTGTGAGGTGCTGGTGCTTCCTATATTTTGACCACAAAGATCTCTGGTCATCTGTCCCACAAGGAGAAACAACCTCTCCACATCGACCCTGTCAGCTTTCCTAAGAATATTGTAAGTTTCGATAAAGTTGTCTTTCATGCATGTAAATTCCAACAAGTACAGGCCCAATATACTCAACCTCTCCTCATAAGACTGTCCCTCCGTACCTGGGATCAGCTGAGTGAACCTTCTCTGGAATGCCTCCAGTGCAAGTCTATCTTTCCTTAGATAAGGGGCCCAAAACTGCTCACTCAGTTGTGGTCTCACTAGTGGTTTGTACATTTTTAGCAAACCTCCCTACATTTATACTCTGAGATAACAAGGTGCAGGGCTGGATGAACACAGCAGGCCAAGCAGCATCAGAGGAGCAGGAAGGCTGACGTTTCAGGCCTAGACCCTTCTTCAGAAATGGGGGAGGGGAAGGGGGTTCTGAAATAAATAGGGAGAGAGTGGGAGGCGGATAGAAGATGGATAGAGGAGAGGATAGGTGGAGAGGAAACAAACAGGTCGAAGAGGCGGGGATGGAGCCAGTAAAGGTGAGTGTAGGTGGGGAGGTAGGGAGGAGATAGGTCAGTCCAGGGAGGACGGACAGGTCAAGGGGGCAGGATGAGGTTAGTAGGTAGGAGATGGGGGTGCGGCTTGAGGTGGTAGGAGGGGATAGGTGGGAGGAAGAACAGGTTAGGGAGGCAGGGACGAGCTGGACTGGTAGGGGGAGGGGAGATTTTGAAATCCACATTGATACCATTGGGCTGCAGGGTTATTTCAGAACCCCCTTCCCCTCCCCCTTTTCTGATGAAGGGTCTAGGCCCGAAACGTCAGCCTCTCTGCTCCTCTGATGCTGCTTGGCCTGCTGTGTTCATCCAGCTCTACACCTTGTTATCTCAGATTCTCCAGCATCTGCAGTTCCTTCTATCTCTACATTTATACTCGACTCCCTTTGATATAAAGCTCACATTTCACCTGCCTTCCCTATTACCTGCTGCATTTAGACGCTGGCTTTGAATCATGTCTCTGTATTAGTCTGAGTTTGCTTTGCTCAAGAGTGATAGATACTAATTGTCTTTCCGCCGTGGGAATTAATAGCAGGCATGTTATTCTGTCTTTCAGGCCTTTGATGCTACATGGACCTGCCCGCACCTCTAGGGAACACTCTCTGGCAGAGACAGTAAGAACTGCCGATGCTGGAGTCAGAGATAACACAGTGTGGAGCTGGAGGAACACAGCAGGCCAGACAGCGTCAGAGGAGCACCAAAGCTGATGTTTCGGGTCGGGGCCCTTCTTCAGAAAGATTGCTTTCTCTTGTGGATTCTGACTGAATTCCAGACAGCTTTCTTACTTGTTGTCATTCAGCACCAACCCAGTTATTGGAGTGTTCTTCAGAATGATTAAAGTGTCACGCATTGCCCTGAGCTGGGCTACAGGCTCTTCACAGTGTAACCCCATGATCACTAATGTTCCTCAACATTTGCGGAGAAGCTGGATCCATTAGCATTATATTCCCTGGCGCTCCGGAGATCACCTCGTAGAAACGCAGTACGTTCTAACAGGACGAGACAGAATAAACACAGGATGGATGCTCCCGATGACCAGGGAGCCGAGAATAAGGTGTCACAGTTTAAGGATACGGGGAGCACCATTCAGGACTGAGATGGGGTAAAATATCTTCACCCAGACAGTGGGGAGCCTGTGGAATTCTCTGACACTGTTAAGTGGCTTAGGTCAAAACATTGAAAGTTTTCAACTGGACTTGGACATAGCAAAAGGGATGAAAGGGTATAGGGAGAAAGCTGGAACAGGGCTGAATGGCCTCCTCCTGCCCCTAGTTTCCAGGTTTCTGTGCTTTCTGTAACGACTTTCAAGAGCCAAGGATGATCACATCTTTCTAGCAACTCCAAGTATTCATCTCACCATCTCAGTCTGTCTGGTCACTAAACAGAAATTACACAGTGCACAGCAGAAAACTGCACTAGCTGTTTGACTATTTAATCATGTCCCTCGCTGACACATAGCAGGAAAACTCTGCGTTTGCGGACTTATTAATACTGCGTACTTTCTGCTCTGTCCCATCTCATTTGCTCGCTGTCAGTGAGAGGCTGAGACACACAGGAATAAAAACAACTCGCACAGAAAACAGAATTTTTATTAAAATCAACGTTATATAAACCTGTGGCAATACAGATTCTGAATTCAGCGTGGACAGTAGGTATATAGTATACTGTGTGTGATACAGAGTCTGAGTTCATTGGCTATAGTGACTATACAGCACACTGTGTGTTATATACAGGTTCTGAGTTCAGCCAATATCTGACCCAGTGAAATACGATTGAAATCTTGCGTTGAAGCTGACAGAGCAGCAGGTGGGATTGCAAGGTCTGGTTGGTATCATCCATCTCCTCACTGATCGAGAATTTCTATATCTGTTATTTCCTCAAAAACCTCCTTCACTTTCTCCCACGCCCCTTCCACCCGTTCAGTAATGCTGTGATCAGGAAAGACAGAAATATATTTGTCAGTGTCACATCCATTCGGTTATACATTACTCATCCTGGGAGACTCACTTCCAGCAGCTCATCCTTGTTCCAGGGTACAAGCTCCCAGCTGGTGCTTACAGAGTTCACTCACCTTCCGCACACTTATCTACTTTGTTCTCAGGATGTGGGAGCTATTGGCTGGGCCCAGCATTTATTGCCCGTCCCTAGTTGCCCCTTGAGAAGGTGGGGGTGAGCTGCCTTCTTGAACCACTGCAGTACATTTGCTGTGGGTTGACCCACAATGCCCTGAAGGAGGGAATTCCAGGATTTTGACCTGGTGACACTGAAGGAACAGCAATATATTTCCAAGTCAGGATGGTGAGTGGCTTGGAGGGGAACTTGCAGGGGGTGGTGTTCCCATGTATCTGCTGCCCCTTGTCCTTCTAGATGGAAGTTGTCGTGGGTTTGAAAGGTGCTGTCTGAGGATCTTTGGTGAATTTCTGCAGTGCATCTTGTAGATCGTACACACTGCTGCTACTGAGCGTCGGTGATGGAGGGAGTGGATGTTTGTGGATGTGGTGCCGATCAAGCGGCTGCTTTGTCCTGGATGGAGTTGAGCTTTTCGAGTGTTGATGGAGCTTGTATCAATCTACAATGTGCAAGTCAGGAGTGTGATAAAATACTCCCTGCTGGCCTGGATGGGATAGCTCCTGGAATTCCCACCCTAATAGCATTGTGGGTCTACCCTACAGCAAATGGACTGCAGCGGGTCAAGAAGGCAGCTCACCCCACCTTCTCAAGGGGCAACTACAGACGGGCAATAAATGCTGGGCCCAGCCCAGTGATACCCACAGTCTTTGAATAAATGAAAAATGTGCCATTTTGAGTTCTATATTTCTCTCTTTCATTGTCTATCTATCTGTCCGTCTGTCTCTCTGTCTGTCTCTCTGTCTATCTCTGTCTGTCTCCCTCTGTCTCCACCTGTTTGTCTCTGTCTGTCTATCTATCTGTCTATCTATCTGTCTATCTCTGTCTGTCTGTCTCTCTGTCTGTCTCTGTCTCTGCCTGTTTGTCTCCTATCTGTCTGTCTGTCTGTCTATCCCCCTGTCTCCATACCTCTGTCACTGCCTCTCTGTTACTCTCTGTGTGTTGATGTTAAGTATGGTGTCGTGTCCCCTACCTTTCTAGTATATCTGAGATTTCTACCGATCTCTTTAGCCGTTTGATGAAGTTGTTAGCTGTGCCCTTGTTCAGGTAGAATTCTGTAAAGAGACAGATGTGGATGTTGAAATTGCTGAGGCTCAAACACATAACCAACTTGACTCTGTCTCCCCTCCGCCTCCCCCTCTGTCCCTACCACCTGCTTCCATCAACTTTGCACAGAGAGAGCCTGGCACTTGCCTGCTTCTAGAGGCCATGCCCTGCTCCTGAAGGGGGCGACACTTCCCAGTTATTGCTTATCACAAACATCCATCCTCCAGCTGTCGGAGTGAGCTGTGACTCTGGGCCAGGCCTGGGCTGTGAGACCGGGCCAGGCCTGGGCTGTGACTCTGTGCCAGGCCTGGGCTGTGATACTGGGCCAGGCCTGGGCTGTGACTCTGTGCCAGGCCTGGGCTGTAAGACTGGGCCAGGTCTGGGCTGTGACTCTGGGCCAGGCCTGGGCTGTGAGACTGGGCCAGGCCTGGGCTGTGACTCTGTGCCAGGCCTGGGCTGTAAGACTGGGCCAGGCCTGGGCTGTGAGACTGGGCCTGGTCTGGGCTGTGAGACTGGGCCTGGTCTGGACTGTGACTCTGGCTGTGACTTTGGGCCTGGTCTGGGCTGTGAGACTGGGCCAGGCCTGGGATTTGGGACTGGGCCTGTGGTCTGGGCTATGAGTGGTCGCGTACCTCAGTTAGATTATTCATTTCTGAAGTGACATAAGAATGTAATGGCTAGGAGTGGAGGTTGGCCACTCAGTCCCTCGGGTCTGCACTGCTGTTCACTACAAGTTCAGAATGATTGTGTATGTTGACGCCATTTTCCTGCTCAATCCCTGTGTTGCTTCATTCCCTTAGTGTCCCACAATCCCCTGATCACTCAATGACTGAGCACCCACAGACTCGGAAGTGTGGTTGGGATGCTCTTTGGAGGGTTGACGTTGATTCAATGAGCTGAATGGCCTGCTTCCACACTGTGGGGATTCTGTGATTCACACACTCGGCTGCCTGCCTCTCCATTATGTTGATAGTTACCCTCCGTTGGTCCTGAAAGCAGGAACTCTCAGATAACAAGGTGTAGAGCTGGATGAACACATAGACCCTCTAGGCCCGAAACGTCAGCCTTCCTGCTCCTCTGATGCTGCTTGGCCTGCTGTGTTCATCCAGCTCTACACCTTGTTATCTGAGATTCTCCAGCATCTGCAGTTCCTACTATCTCTGAAAGCAGGAACTCTCAAATTGGACTCAGGGCCCCAAGTATAGGTCCTGAGCTGAGAGGCATCAGCCAGTTACCCCTCTATCACAGGGCAGCAACACACCAGCCAACCCACCCCCCCAACTTAGGACTCCCCACTCCCAGCCTCACACTTATAGTTCCCACCATGAAATCATGACATTATCCTGTCCTCGGAATGAGGTCCCAGTCGGAAAGATTTAGGAAGCGTGGGTGGAATCTCTGCCCAATCCTCGGACCTATCACTCGTCTTTCCGACTTGTACTGTGTGTCTCTCACTTTATTACCATCCTTGGCTCCTTCACAAAGATACTGTCTTTCTCACATGGTCACATCTTTACTGAGAGTTATTAAATAGCTGCTTAAAAGTCTGCCACTGTATCTCTACCAACCCACCTCATAGCCTGGTTACCCTGATCACCTCAGCTAGCTCTGCCTCTGTTTAAGTTTAAAACATTAGTCTCAGACCCACATGCTTCCCTCTAACTTCCAGGGGTTCCAGCAGCACGGCCACAAGCCATTCAGGCCATCAGTGCAACGTTCCCGCCTCACCCCCGCACCTCAAGCTGCCTTCCCTCATCTGAGAAACCCATTCCCTCCCACTTCATCAGCTTGTCCAGCTTCCCCTTAAATGTTTCTACATCGAGGAACCCATTGGAATTCCACCTTGGGATGTAAGACAATCAGAAATAGGAGCAGGAGGAGGCCATTCAGCCCCTCGAGCCTGCTCCGCCATCCAATAAGATCATGGCTGATCCCACATTCCTCACATCCACTTTCCTGCCCTTTCCCCATAATCCTTAATTCCCCGACTGATCAAGAGACTAGCTCAGCCCTAAAGATACACGAGGGCTCTGCCCCCACAGCCGTCTGTGGTAAGGAGTTCCAAAGACTCACAATCCCCTGAGAGAAGAAATTCCTCCTCATCTCAATCTTCAATTGGTGCCCCTTTACTCTGAGACTGTGCCCTCTGGTCCTAGCCTCTCCCATGAGGGGAAACATCCTCTCAGCATTGACCCTGTCGAGCCCCTTAAGAATCCTAAATAAAAACTGAAAGAACTGCGGATGCTGTAAATCAGAAACAGAAACAGAAGTTGCTGGAAAAGCTCAGCAGGTCTGGCTGTGTCTGTGAGGAGGAATCAGAGTTAATGTTGTGGGTCTGCAGTACTGATCCTGCCAGACCTGCTACACTTCCCCTTAACAATCCGATATGTTTCAGTGAGCTCAGCTCTCATTCTTCCAAACTCCAGTGAGGAGAGTCCCAGCCTGTTTAATCTTTGCTGATAAAACAATCCCTCCGCACCAGGGATCATCCCCGTGATCCTTCCCTGAACGGCCTCCAGTGAAATGATATCTTTCCTTACATAACTTAGTACGAACTGCCGATGCTGGAGAATCTGAGATCACAAGGTGTAGACCTGGATGACACTTAGAAAAAGACCTTTCTGAAGAAGGGTCTAGGGCCGAAACGTCAGCCTTCCCGTCAGCCTTCCTGCTCCCCTGATGCTGCTTGGCCTGCTGTGTTCATCCAGCTCTACACCATAACTCTGAGTGATGTGACTGTGTCCCACTGAACACTTTGCTTTATTGTGAGATGTGGGTGTCAGCATTTGGTCCCTATCCATTACTGCCCTTGAACAGTGTCTTGTTCAGATCATTTCAGAGGGTGGTTCTTAAGAGTCAACCACATTGCTGTGGGCCTGGAGTCACATGTAGGCCAGACCAGGTAAGGATAGCAGTTTCCTTCCCTAAAGGACATTAGGACATTCCCTAATGGGTCTCTTTTCAAAAAAAAACACAACAACCAATGGTCCTTTTACAGTCACATCACTGAGGGTAGCTTTATATTCCAGAATTATTCATTGCATTGGGACCCCACCCTCTGCTTTGGGGGGATTTGAACTGATTATGGAGCATTAGGCGGGTGATTACTAGCACAGAGTCAGTGCCTCACCATCACCCTTTCCCTCTTCGCTGGTGTTTTAGGGGGTCACCAAAGAGTCCTTTTTGCCTAGCTGACATGATGGAGGGTGAATGTACAAACCTGGCTGTTTCACGTCCTCTAATTGTTCTGAAGCATCTGTAAGAGAATGGATTGGTTTTGGTTAGTTCAGCGACATTAACAGTAGCTATGGACTATGAGGGTGGGCACGGTGGCTCAGTGGTTAGCACTGCTACCTCACAGCACCAGGGACCGGGTTCGATTCCACCCCCAGGGTGACTGTCTGTGTGGGTTTCCTCCGGGTGCTCCAATTTCCTCCCACAGGTGGATTGGCCATGCTATTTTTTTTTTTATTCGTTAACGGGATGGGGGTGTCGCTGGCCAGGCAGCATTTATTGCCCATCCCCAATTGCCCAGAGGGCAGTCAAGAGTCAACCACATTGCTGTGGGTCTGGAGTTACATGTAGGCCAGACCAGGGAAGGATTGCAGTTTCCTCCCCTAAAGGACATTAGTGAACCAGATGGGTTTTTCCTGACAATCGACAATGGATTCACGGTCATCATTAGATTCTTAATTCCAGACGTTTATTGAATTCCAATTCCACCATCTGCCATGGCAGGATTCGAACCCGGATCCCCCGAACATTATCTGGAGCCGCTGGTTTAACAGCCCAGTGATAGTACCACTAGGCCATCACCTCCCCTTGCCCGTAGCGCACAGGTAGGTAGATTAACTGTGGGAAATGCAGGCCTATAGGGTAGGGGGCCGGGTGTGGGCCTGGGTGGGATGCCCTTTGGAGGGTGGGTGTGGATTCAATGGGCTGAATGGCCTGCTCCCACACTGTAGGGATTTTGTGACTGAGTGAAATTCTCTCATCTTGCTTCCTGCTCCTTTTCCAAATCTCTTCAAATCTATGCCCCTCTTATTCTTGTTCCTTTTACAAATCGGAACAGCTTCTCACTGTCTACTTTGTCCAGCCCCGCTCCTGATTTTGAAAACCTCTATAAGATCTCCTCTCAGCTGCCTTCTGTCTAGGGAGAACAGTCCCAACTTCTTCAATCGATCCTCTTGACTGAAGCTTCTCATTCCTGAAACCATTCCTGTAAATCACTTCTACACTCTCTCCAATGCATTCACATCTTTCCTATAATGTGGCACCCACAACTGTACA